AGGCGGACGAGAAAGGGCAGAGAGATGTAGATGAGGAGCAGGTTCAGGAGGACGGTGCGCAGCCGGGGGCGCCAGGCCAGCCGGCCCCTGCAAGGAAGGCACCTTGATAGCACATCCCCTCCCGCCCCAAGGGCTTTGGGGCACAGCAGAGCGGGATCCCCGTTCCCAACCCCAGTCGCGATGGTTGGATACAGCGGCTTTTCCCCCGCAAGGGCCTGAGGCTGCCGTTTGTGTCCCCCTGGGACCAGGAGCTGGTTCCCCACGCCAGGGTTGTGTTTGGCTTTTGGGGACGGAGCCGAGGTGCCGGAGCAGCCCCACCGTGACACAGCGTCATGAAAGGCCACGATCCGGTCCCCCCGCAGCCTCTCACAGGACACCGGTGGGCAGGAAGGGCAGGGCACGTGCCAGGGCCGGGAACTCAAGCCAAACCGGCAATAAGGAGTGACGGATACTCTGTGGCAACACCCCGAGCCGTGGCCGTGGCTGGTGACACGGTCACGGAGGTGTCCCCAGCACCGAGACCCCCTGCCAATTCTCCAGGGACAAGGAGGAAAGCTGGGAAAGGGGCTCGGGGAGCCCACGGCACCACGGGAGAAACCAGTCCCCAGAGCGATGTCCCCCAGTGACACCAGCACAGGGCGGGAAGAGTGACCACCTCCGGCAGCATCTTGCCCCGAAGGGCTGGGGGACGCATCCAGCCACCCCAGGCCATGCCCTCTGCAGCGAGCCGCCGGCCAGCCCTAGCCCCAGCCTCCAAGAGGGAAGGGAGAGCCAAGAGCTGCAGATTGCCTGGCGTCAACGTCTCTCGTGGGCTGATGGTGCTGGGCAATGGGGAAACTAGTCCAGGATTTAGGGCAGAGGTTTCTGAAAGGCATCCAAGCACAGCTCACTCCCTGCCAGCATGTGCCCAGGCTCACCGTCACTCCTGCAATAGTGGATTTAAGTCCGTCGCCTGCCCTGGGGAGCGCTGCAAGACGCTGAGAGAGGGGTGCAAAGCGGGTGCCAGGGCAAAGTGCCATCGTCCCCCGGGGCACAGGCAGCCTTCCCGGGAGGGGGCCGGGTGGCATGAGCCGTGCTGGAGCCACGGGGAGCTCCCTGAACCCCAGTCGCCCCTCGAGACGTTGGTCTGAGCAGTCCCGCTGTACGCTGGCAGCAACGGGCCGGCGGTGCCCTCGCAGTCGCCGCGGTTAATTATTAGGTGGTGCTCTTGGTCTACACCTAATATTCAAGTGCAGGGGCGAGCGCTCACACCTGCCCTTGCGCAATACCTGCTGCAGGTGAGAACTGACAGGCCCGGACCGGGGCGGGAGGACGTGCCCACCAAGGAGCACCTCTGACAGCTGGCACGGCAACAGGCCACCGCATGGCATGACGGGGACAGCAAGGTGACACGGGGACACAGCCACAGCATGGCATCATGACGCGGGGGGGGGGGGCACGGGGGTGGGGGAGGGGGGCACGG